AGTATATAAAACCATGCTCGTATACAACCTATGCAAAACGGCGTCAGTTTAGACGTAATTCTGTCCTCCTGCTTTCCGCATCATTTATGAGAAAACATTTCATAACATTAACACAACATATTCGAGGTGGTTTTAAATAACATATTCGTATTTATTTATTTCTCCAAGTTAAGTTTTTGTGTGCACTGAGGAGCCGCAAACAGGCGTTTGTTAAATAATTTTAAGATTGGCTTTAATCAATGTTTGAAAAATGAATTCTTCATATATGATAAATGAGGTAACATTTTATTGATGTATTATTTCCACATATTTCTCTCCATTCTTCCTTCTGCCAACGGTGTCGCAATTTCTCGTCTCTCCCGTGTTTGTGCTTAGTGCATACGCATGGGTTAGAGTTTGCGTGGAGGACCGCATGTTTTCCCGTCAAGTTAGTATTTTATAAATCGCAAACATTGCGTAGAAACTGGCGTACGCCATTTTTTTAGCGTATATCCCTTTATAAATGAGGCCCCTGGACTCTATTTCTGCAAGGTAGTTTGGCAATGAGTTCCATTCCTTTAGAGCTCTATAAGTCAATGAAGATTTCAGAAGATTTGTCCTGGGTTTAGGTGCCAGTAGATGTAGCATGGAGTTAAGTCAGATCATTACATCAGCCCTCAGGTCATGTAAAACCATGAAAGAGGCGGAGGTCTGTTTGTCCGTGCTGGGTTACTATATGGCAATGAAAACGGATGACACCTTTGTCTCCTTATGACACAATGCACTGAAAATAAGCATGCCTGAAGAACATTTTCTTTATCAGTTTTGTTTAATTTAAAATTACCTTTTGTGAGCAAATCTACAGATATGACGGATGTAATACTTAATATACAGATAACCTGGAATTGGTTTGTGAAAGGAGCTGTTGGAAGATGAGTTAAAATATTTCAGCACCACAGACAGCGCCAATAATACTACAGGTCGATGGAGTCAAGAGTTGCCATGGAAACTTCAGGCTGCTTCAGGACATGAACCAATTACAACACAAAAGTCGCGCTCCCCAAAGTGTAATGAGCCTGGGATGTAATGAATGCAATTCATTTTCAAAGATCAAAACCATCATCATTAGTACCATCACCATGTCATAATCTTTAAAAATAATGCAACGTCTGTGTTGAGTTTACTTAACACCAGCAGTATGAACCCCAACAGCTTCAGATGTTTACAACCATCTGAGGACAAATGGACCCCGAGATAACATCAGACTTCCAACTCAGGTTACATAGCATGTGCATCTTCTCCGATGTCAGTTCCAGATGGTTATCCCTTGAGTAGATCTCTCAGCGTAAGTGGCCTGCGACAACATGCTTACATATTTAGAAAACTGCTGTTCCCAGACCTGTTCAGAGAAGATCACAGGCTGGAGACTGAGAGCGATTGATGAAACTGAGAAAGCTGAGGTTGTGCTTTTGGGGGGTTTCCCTTTCCTGTGTGTTAGGTTTTTGTGCATGGTCTCCAAAGGCTACAATCATTGCACACTGGGCTCTGGTTTCAGACAGAGGGTGAAAAGAGGTGCTGCAGCACAGGCAGTATGAGAAAAATAAAGAGCTTTTTGTACATTAAGGCATGGAAACATGTCACAGTAGGACTGTTACGATCTCACTAGGGATGAGGAATGTAACACACACCAGAATGGAATTGGTAATTAATTATAATAGGGTTTAATGGAATAAGCAACAGGTGTACAACAAAAGGAGGACAAATATAGCCTAAACCAAACTAAAGAGCCAAAAGGGCACAGGTAAACTGCTAAACAGAAAGAGGACTGTAAAAGGGAGTCTAAACCCACACCACACCGCTAATTACCACTAATCACTGCTAATGGGGAGGCCGCAGGGAAATGCAGCTAACACAGGGAAAACCAAAACACGCTACTCTAAAACATATCTAAACACACTACTCTAAAACATATCTAAACACGCTACTCTAACACATATCTAAACAAACTACTCTAAACACATAACCCACACGCTACATACAACACTAAACACGGATCACACAAGTTCGCACAGCCAATCACGCTGAAGCAACCACACAGCTCATTCACATAACAGGATTAACAGAACCGGAGAGGCGCCAGCCGTCACAAGGACAAAATACTAGGGATGCACCGAATATTCGGCCGCCGAAAATTATCGGCCGAAAATGGTTAAAAAGGCCCTTTCGGCTTTCGGCCGAAAGAGTTCTAGCACCGAAAAAATATCACCGAATGTCAGAGAACAGGGTTACGTTGGTAAGCTAACGTGTTGTTGTGATGACGTAATCAAAACGCGGCGAAAAGCATGGCGCGCGACCATGCTCGCGGCTGGCTCACAGCCAACATGTCTGCCGCTTGGAGATATTTAAAAATATCAGAGAAAGAGGCGCGGATTGCGATTTGTATAACGTGTTCAGCTGACATTTCTCGAGGGGGTGTAACTGCAAAGACTTTCACCACTTCGGGATTACTCCACCACTTGAAGATCAAATCACAAGCACTGACAGCGAGAGACTGTTCAGCGCTGCCTCTCATGTGCTTGATGAGAAGAGGAGCAGACTTATGGCTGATAAAGCAGAGAAGCTACTGTTCATTAAAAAGAACCTCCCACTTTTCCTTAATAAGTAGACAAGGCTGGCTTATCATAAGCTTATCTAGTTCTACATGTCTACTCTATACCCACTTTCCTGAACCATTTTCATTGTGAGTTATAATTCACCATCTCAGGTTATCATTAGGGGGAAATGACAGCAGCACAGTGTTCAACATATTGTACTTTCGGTATCTAAATGATACAATGTTGTTTACATTGCTCATGAGGACAGACCACCTTATTTGCAGATTCTTGAAATTGTAATTTAATTTGTAATTGATTGTGGATTTTGTATCCAGTTTTCACTTTATGTATCTTTATACAATGTTTACTAATTTGCTTATGAGGACAGACAGCCTTATTTACAGATTCTTGACATTCATTTGTAATTTCATTTGTAAATATTTACATTCATGTGGATTTATCCAGTTTGCACATTTGTATGCATGCACTTATAGGTGCATTTGTTGTTGTTGAAGGCCTGGCTGTTACAGTCTTTATTTACACTATTTTGTTGTAGGCCTACTGGCCTAGATGTTTATGCAGTTTTAAAGCACCTTGGCTTTGTTCTGAATGCACTTTGTTGTAGTTATTCTACAGAGAAAAGAAAATGCACTTGACTTGGAATTAATGTGCTGTATGCATTCAAAAGTGCTGAATAAATGTTTTATGGACCCATAATAGTGATTATTATTTAAGTTAAGTTTTGCCATAATCATTTATCTTTCCATAATCAGGCAGCTGAACAACATTGGTACAAAATGTATACATTATATATTTCTATTAATCATTTTCGGCCTTTCGGCATTCGGTTTTCGGCCAACTGTTTCCTATTTTCGGTATCGGTTTCGGCCAAGAATTTCCCATTCGGTGCACCCCTACAAAATACTAATATGAACCCTGAAAAATATAATAGGACCCCTTGTAAAAAAAGACACACAATGTTCATCAAAGGAGAATTAAAAAGTAGAACCTCTGATTTTTTTTCCCCCACTCATAAACTTGAAGAAACATTTCAGGGATAGCAATGTTTTGTCTGTGGCTGCGTCTGAAACAGCTCGACAACCTTCAGATGGATTGTCATTGAATTCTGTTCATCATCCAAGGTCTTGTTACAGCAGAATATGTTAGGCCGAGATATCCTGGCAACTGAACGTGCAAAACTAATTCTGCATCACCACAATATACCAGAGCAAACTGGAATTGTGGATGAACTATGTATTTATAGATTCACATTAACAGTATACACAATGGTAAATATCTTCTATTTACTGTATATATTCTAGAAAAAATATGAGATCAGAAAACATTTCATCTAAGACATTATCTGTTTAAGGGGACCCTATTCTGCTCATTTTCAGGTTCATATCAGTATTTAGTTTTAGTGTCTCTACTGTGACATGTCTCCATGCTTTAATGTTCAAACAGCTCTTTATTGTTCTCATACTGCCTGTGCTGCAGCACCTCTTTTCACCCTCCATCTGAAACCAGAGCCCAGTCTGCTCTGATTGGTTAGCTGGCCGGCTCTGTTCTGATTGGTTAACAGCTTAGAAATATGTCGGAAATAGTCAATAGAATCACGTGTTATACAGTAGTGATGTCCTGATGTTATGGAAGTAAACAAAGGAGTCCAATTAAGGTGTTCATAACAAATAATTTGATATACTCTGTTATATTTTCTCAACTTACAAGAACAATAGAAATGTCTTTCAAGTATTTTTGTGAATTGTTTTAAATGTATTTACCTATAAGTAAAGATTAAGTTGGCATGGACAAATGGATGGTTAGTGCTAGGGTGTGGGTGCCAGAATCATAACGACCTTACAGACAGTTAATTGTTAAGTGCCTTTTCATACAAGGTACTGCTGCATACAATAAACATAATAAGGTGGAATAAAAATACTGCAAAATACATAAATAGAACTAGAGAATAGCACATGTTCTATACAAATAAATAGGGAAATGATTCTGTCGGACAGAAGGACATATCACCTGCACATAAACAAGGGTTATCATTAACAATGCCTTGTGGAATATCTTAGTTTTTATTTTAATGAAATAAATGCATAATAAAGTAACTATTGACACTTTTCACACATTGTAAAAACATCTGAATACATGTTACCTTATATATACCTTACCTTATATATATATAGTTAAAACGGTGTATCAAGGGATGTGTGTTTAATCCCAGTCCTCCGCTACAAGTCACTGGAGCTGGACAGGTATTGGTGGGATTTGTTGCGCACGGCTTGGTGACGTTGCCTGGGAAGAGAGGGAGCAGCCTGCGAATGCGTGAGCTCCATCCAACCTTTATTCAAGAGAAAAAGTCCAGGAGGACATGCATCTCTTCCATCAATATGTGATATATCCTCAATAGTGGACACAACAATGGAGCTACTGATGGAAAATCAAAGCCAGCCTTTCAACAACAGCAACACTGTGAGGCTGCCAAATAAACCTGTCCTGGGGATGGGACTCGATAACTTTATTTCTCTTCTCATATTCGGACTTATTTTCATCCTCGGGGTGCTTGGGAACACCATGGTGATCACGGTGCTGGCGCGAAGCAAGCCGGAACAACCGAGGAGCACCACCAACATCTTCATCCTCAACCTGAGCGTGGCGGACCTGTTCTACCTCCTCTTCTGCGTGCCCTTCCAGTCCACCATCTACATGCTGCCAACCTGGGTGCTTGGAGCGTTCATCTGCAAGTTCATCCACTACTTCTTCACCGTGTCCATGCTGGTCAGTATCTTCACGCTGTCGGCGATGTCTGTGGACCGCTACGTGGCCATCGTGCACGCCAGGAAGTCCTCTTCGATCCGGGTGGGGAGGCACGCGATCCTGGGAGTGGTAATCATCTGGATCCTGTCTCTGGGCATGGCGGCTCCCGTTGCGCACTACCAGAACATCGTGGAGCGCGAGGACAACGGCACCTTCTGCTGGGAGGTTTGGCCGGCCCACCAGAGAAAGGGCTACGTGATGTCCACTTTTGTTTTCGGGTACCTGCTGCCTCTCACGCTGATATCTGTGTGCTATGCAAAGGTGGGTGCGCATGAATCAGAGTGAATGGATGCGCATTAAGCTTAAGATATTATGCGCATTAAGCTTAAGATATTATATATATATATATTTGCTATTAACATAGCAAAATGCATGGATGCAATGTTTATATAACACACTATAATATTCAATTGTGCCTTTTGTTCATTTTCTATTTTATACAGTTTTTTTATTCCTGCATTTACTTGCACTTACACTTGTCGTATGCACTATTTCTGTATTGTTCTTTTAATGTCTAAAGAATATTACATCTTAGACTGTTGAAGGAGCCTGGGACCAGGGCCGTCCCTGGCCAACTTGGGGCCCCAAGCGACATTGTGAGATGTCCTCCCCCCCCCCCCCTCCCCCCCCCCTCGCCCCCCCGACAGGAGTGATAAATGTTTTGGGGGAAACAAAGTACTTTGCAAATATAATTCCTGTTTATTATTATTATTATTATTATTATTATTATCATTACTATCAACACAGTTACTTTGTTATACAGTGAGGTAAATGGTAAATGTCCATGTATGTCATTCAGTATGCGTTTACAGCCAAATACTAGCCTCAAAAACATTAAAATATAATTATTGCAAATAAACTACTTCTACTAATAATAATAATCATAATAAATTCAATAATATAAATACTATATTATTTTTATTATAATATAGTTGTAATATAGTGCGCGGAGAACTGCGCAATGTGAGGCCTGCATGATCGGCCTGTAGGGAGGGACGGCCCTGCCTGGGACTAAGGGTTTTTATTGCCATAACTACACTGTAGCAATTGTGCTTATGACAATACAAAATGTGATTCTTATATAAGCAAAACTGTTGCTTTGATCTCCATGAAAGTCATTTTTTATTTAATAATGTTGACTTTCTGTAACAGTAGTTTGGATTCGACAATGACACATTATCCGCCAAGACATGAGACCTTAAGATTCAAAAGGGTTGAATTATCTCTGATAGTTGGTGAAGTGTTGATGAATTATGTTTTTTAAATGAAAAAATAACCAATTCAAGACAACACCCTTTACCTTTTATTATATTTGTATTATTGCAGGTTTTAAAACATCTGCACAAAAAGCTGAAGAATGTGTCTAAAAAGTCAGAGCTCTCCAAAAAGAAGGTTGGTGAGAGTTTGTTTCTTTCTCCATCTTCAACATGCTAAGCAATTATGATTCAACTGAATAGGTAAAAACAATGTGAACGTGCTTCCCCGATGTCTGGGGGTTTAACGATGGATCAGGTGTAATGGTAGCTGGAAGACAAGTGTGCACAATGGTCACTGAAAAAAGACTGTATACCTATAAATCGTCTGAAAGTATTATCTCAATCAATTGTTTAATTTGTTTTAATCATAAATGCCATGTGTCGGTTCCATTCTCTCAAATGTGAGGATTTGCTTATTTTCTTACTCATGATGGTAAATCAAATACAATCTGGTTTGGTCTGGCAGTACAAAACACTTGGCAGGCATTTGAAGATGTTGCCTATTCGAAGCAATGCAGTTTTATAGAGTAAACGATTAATTGAGAAAATGATTGGTAATCTATAATGAAATAAATTGTTATTTGCAAATACTTACATTCTGCTCCTTGACAGAAGCCTTGTGAGAAGAGACCTTGAGTGAAAACTCTTGTGAATAAAATGTAGTTTCTCATCTTTGATTTGACACTGGACTATCTACAAAAAAAGCTAACTGTCATTCTATGACTTCCTGCTATGTTAGTATGTGTTTAAGGAAGCCATGAGAGGCAAATGACAAAATTGTTATTCCGTCAAAACATTGTGGTTCCCAGTTCGATGCACAAACTGCATTTATATTTCAATGATGATGATAGGTGTGGATTCCCATTTAGCAAACTATGAAATCTGTAGCTTACGGTCTGGAAGACATTTCAACCCAGCTGAATCCAACAAGAAAAAGCAGAATCAAAATTCAACTAAATAGATTGATATAAATTAAAGTTAGGATATGTCAAAATATTATATTTTTACCTTGCTCACACTAACTGGCAACTAAGACTCTTGATCGCTGACGAGATACCATGTGATTCTAACACCGCTATACTATTGGCTCACAGGCTTTGTTAGCAACTCCACCGGTGACAACCACACACCAGGTACCTAAAACAGGACTTTCATTTTGAGCCGTGCAACATTTTAAAAAGAATTAATTAATCTGTGTGCAATAAGTGAGAAAATAGTGTTTGTTGTTGTTGTAGTCCTCATTTCAATCACAAGAGGCCGAAGGGATCCCTACTACCCCATGTTCTCAATAGGACTAAAAGCCTTAGTGTTTTCTTCTAGGTGATTTTTTTCATTACATTTAAACACAGTGTACATGTATTGATATGATTTGAAATACATATCTGTATAAAAGAAAGACATGATATGACACACAATGTTAGCATGCTGTGTTGAAGATCATTTGTGTTATCAAGTCAAGTAACAATACTTTAGTTTTGGCTAGAAATGTATTTAAATCTTATCCATATCTCTACTGTACATTATGTGTAGAGTGCATGAAGACAATTCAAAACTAACCTGACCTAGATGCAGGGTCGGTGTCATGGGGGGTCATTCGCGGGCCATGCCCCCCCTAACGAGTCACTGTGCCCCCCTAACGCACTTTTTTTTTATCATATTATAAGTGAAAACATTTCCACTAAATATTTTTTGTGCGAAATAAATCAGAAATAAAGAATACAAATAAAAAACACAGCCTGAGGTGTGCTCACTGCTGCTCGTTGATTGGTGTGTTGCTTGACCAATGACCTCTGACCTTTGTTTTGTTGTCATTACGTGGCCGACTGTTTAGTTGTAAGCCCAGTGGCGATCTGTTCATCTGTTATACGGATTATACAGTAAAGCCATCGAAAATAATATGATACAGCACAGTACAAGTACTTCTGGGTCTCTGTGTTTCATTCAAGCTTGGCTCTGTATGTGTGGCACGTGCACATTTTGTTGTTGTTAGCATCTGGTTAGCTAGCTATGCTAACGGATATAAAGAGCTGTTTCTACAACAAATGTGGAGGAGAGTCCTCTCCTGTCAGACTGAGAGGTTTAGATACCTACAGCTCAGTGAGGTAAGGTCAGGACTCCGTCAGTGTTTAGATTAGTTATCTCAGTGGGTCTCAAACGTTTTGGTCACCATTTATGTAAACAAGTATTTCCGAGGAACACCTTTACATGATCATTATAGTCATTAAAAATAAGAAAATGAATGAAAAACAGGTATGAAATACTACAGTAAAACAAGAATACAGTTTAAAAGGGGAGTGATTTGTAAAATATCCATAAAGAAAAAGTAAATCAGTTTACAGTTCTGTTTCATTTGGGTGTTGAGAGATGTATCCATAGATCTCTTAATGTTGCTCTCAAAGTGCACCAGATTCAGATTGGTGCATTTAACTTCAAAATAAAATCTTCCCGGGGGAGCATGCCCCCGGACCCTCCTAGAGGATGTTAGGTCCACCCCCCACCTAAAACATGGTCACATGGATAGGGTAATCATAAGTCCATATGTTTCTGTTTGGTGGTCATGCCACAACCGTTCATGTATGCACAGGTCATAGGTGCGCTAAATATCACTACACCCCTGCAATGTGTGTGAAAACAAGAGACTTTACATGTTTTGAAATTGAAGTTGCGTTGGTGTTTGTGTGTAGGTTGTTGACGGCAGTGTGTGCCCCCCCGTGGTAAATGATTCCCCCCCATTCGATTTGTTCTAGAGCTGACCCTGCCTAGATGAAAACAATACTTTTTAAAGTCTCTTGTGGCTACAATTACAAAAACAAACAATAAAACTGATTTTTTTTCAGCTGCTTTAACTGATGGTAAACTCAAAAAAGATTTCCCTAGAACACTGCTTTTTTTAGATGTTGTTAATAAGTTGCAACCTCTGTGATGGAGCAGTGAAATATATGCGGAAGTGCAAAAAACTGTAGTTCAACAAATGGCCACCATTGGGTACTAACCATGGGTAACGTCACATATATTACACTATTACACTTATTTTATACAGCCTAACGCTATCTCACACACAGGAGAGAAAATATTTTTTATTAGATATATAGAATGGATCACAATAACATTAGAATGTGCCTCTTTGGGCTTCCATACATATTACTGCTTCTACACAGACTGCCCAGTTACAGTTACATTTGATAACCAATCATTGTCCCCGCAGACTGCGCAGACGGTCCTGGTGGTGGTGGTGGTCTTCTGCCTTTCTTGGCTGCCTCACCACATCGTCCACCTGTGGGTGGAGTTCGGCTCCTTCCCCCTGAACCAGGCCTCCTTCGTGTTCAGGATGGTGGCTCACTGCTTGGCCTACAGCAACTCCTCCGTCAACCCAATAATCTACGCCTTCCTGTCGGAGAACTTCAGGAACTCCTACAAGCAGGTCTTCTGGTGCCGCGTGCCCAGCAGGTACCCCAAGAGCGGCCCCCGGGAACTCCGCAGCAGGATGGAGACGGCCCCCTCCACAAACATCAGCGCAACTTACAAAGCTCATGACTCTCAGACCAGCAAAATGATCTGATAGTGTTGAGAGCATCTTCAGTGTTCTATAGATAGTGTATTATTGAGGGAAATACGTATATGAGATTTTTTTTTAAATGTCCTGATATAAATATATACATTTATTTTTGAGCATTCTGTAGACAACTTAGATTGGGCCACAAATCCCAATATTTTGTAAAGTAAAATATATGTGTTATGAATAAGGAGCTCCTGGTGTCAGGCCCTTCTCCTGCTGAGCTATGAGAGAAAGAACTATGTAAAATATGTGGTCTGTAAAAATGATGATGGATAAAAGCCAACATTTATGTGGACACGTCCAAATCCTCTGTCCAGAAACACTCTTTTTACAGCCTTATGTGCAGGTGTTGTCATGTACCTCTGCAATATATAACAACTAGGTGTATTTCCCAATATATTAAACTATTACTGCAAAGATGTGTACAAAGATAATTGTAAGTGCCAATGTTGGAAATATTATATTAATGTAGCTGTTTCTAGGACCTTAAGTAAAATTCCATTCCTGTCACCAGACAAAAACCCACATAATGGATGACTAAACATTACGTTAAATGTCCATTTTTAAAATAGCTTTTTGGGGTTTTTCTTTCCAGTAGTGTGTTATACAGGTTTCCATTTTTTGTGAATGGTCTGCAAAGGTTTCAGCACCAAAGTTCCCTCCAGAGGGAGTGTCTCTCCCACACACTCTTCATATAAAAAATAAATATATATAAATAATCATTAGTTAATGTAAAAGTGTTGAATTTGTAAAGAAAATGCTTTTTCTCGCCTACGATTATTAAAGAAAGAAGGGAATTCTAAATGGGGTTTAATTCAATAACAGAAATTCAATACCAAATTGTCCGTTAACAAAACTCTTACACAACTTCAGGTATTACTTATCTAGTTATATGCTCCCTACTTCCAAAAAAAATGCATTTTCTCTAAAACGTTACGGTTGAAAACATCATTGCATTACCAGCCTCACGCCTGCTAATGCACACTATTAATCGTTAGCTTTTACAAAAGGTTGTTAAAGTGTTTCACGTGAGAAGTGTGCGTGTAAGCCAGTAGTTTTCTGGTTTTGCGTTCTTCTTTTTCACCGTGGAGTCATGCAAGACACATTTTCCTTAACAAATTGAAGTAAAGAGGGGAAGATAATGATCATTTTGGGGTGGAGCAGCATAGAAAAGAAGAGAATCTAGCAGCCATGAAGCTGCTCAGAAAGGCCTGCACCTTTTTGTGCAAACAGTGAAACTGTCAAGGACAGTCAAGAATCACTTTCAGTTGCAAACTGAAGCATTCAATTACTTTCCCTTTCTTGAGGCCTATTCATTGCAGCCCTGAAGAACACACAATACACGTTTTCTTTCTAGGGCTCATCAGGAGATGCCTCTGGTGTGTCATAGTTACTATGTACCATGCTCTATACCAGAGAACATCAGGGACATGTAAATAACAGTGCAGCATTGAAATGGTTGCGCAGTATCTGTCTCCAAATATAGCTGATATACACAGAATGTTCACAAAAGGAATATATCAGTGTTTTCAAATCATAACAAATGTCAAATGTTGTTCTATTCCTCTTAATATAACCCCACCCAGAGTCACACTGCAGATGCATACCTCAAACGTTCTGTATACTTTTGAACTTTTGCCATTTCTGTAATGGAAACCTCTGTTTTTATCTCGAATTGTATAAATGTTTCACTTGTTTTCTTGCTTTCTTGCTTTCTATAAACAAAACTGCATAAGCCCATTTAAATTAGTGTACAATATGTTTGTTAGTGATGGATTAAACAAAGCGTGAGTAAATAATAATATATATATATATATATACTGCAGGCTACATGCATGTGGCTGTAATCAGTGATACGGTACATTTTGTCCAGATCTTATCAGTGTGCAGGTTTACATGGCTCTCTGATCTGCACAGATACATATTATTTCCTGTTTACCCCCAAGCCTGAATTTGATTAAGATGACTTTTGCAAACAGTTAATGCTGCGTGTTCCTCTCCACCCCCTGCAGCCATAACCATGTACTGTGTATTTATATTACAGCAGCAGCACATTGCATACTGCCTCAGGAGGCCGGCAAGGAGACAAAAGGGATTTACATATGTATAAAGGATTTTATGTAAAGTAAGAGGGGATTTCATGTGAAATGTGATTTATTGTAATGAAACTGTTCGTATATTGTCTGGTGAGGTGTATCTTTTATTCCAGTACATTACATCAGAAGTCAAAATGAGTCTAATTTTGATCATTCATTTGCACAAGACATTCTGCTGCCATTGAAAGACCTGTAAAGGAGCTGTCAAGTTCCTGCTTACAGTGATCTACAAGCAGACAAATTATGAAGCAAGCATTATTTGTTGGATTTTGAAAGCTTTTTTTATTTTACACAAACTCAAATGTGTGTCTCTCCAATACATCCAAATAAATATGTTAAAAACAAGAGTTTTACCAGTTGATACTGGCACACATATTATTTTTTGTTATGGTTTTTTTCTGGATTGTCTGATGAATTTGCAAAATCCTGATGAACAACTTTGTTTTCTAAATTAAATGTCATGTCTTTAAAAACGTAATTACTAAAGTACTTAATTTGAGGCCTTTTTAATTAATTTGGCAAATTAAGGATATAATCTATTTTATGTCCTTTATTCTGCTATATTGAAAACATTTAATGCTACTAATAAATATATAAATAAACTCTCACTATATTAACAGGTAGGCCTAATACAGGGCTATACAAATTGCTTCATATTGTTTTAAAATGTTGCGATTACATGTTTTAATTACCTCACAGCGCTCCTTTTTAGTCAAAACATTGAAATATTATAGATAATTTATGAAAAGATCCTGCATTTTATATCGCTTAAAATCCTAAAAATGCTTTTTAATATAAATACTTTGCTCCATTTCAAGAATCATCTGTTTCAGTGTTAACACATGTAAAAAAAGAAGCTTCGATAATGAATGCTATCTTTATGGGTACATGTTAGCATTATTTTACCTCTACTATAGGCCTACATACAGTAGTAAATTATACATTTGCATTCTTTATTAATCACTGATGTAATGCACCACCCGGCCAGCAGCAGGCTGAGTGACTTAAATCAAACACACCCATAGTGTTTGTGATGCTAACATGCTAACATGCTCGTGGTGGAACTTTTACCCAGAGCTGTGGACTGGTTTTATTTTTGACTGATAATGAAGGAGCAGAGAAACCTGGATTGGACTGAAGAGGATAGAGACTCACTGAGTGACGTCAGACAGGTACACAAAAAAGGTATGTCTGCTCGCTGTGTGAATATTAGCACTTTTAGGCCACTTTACTTACAATTGTTTGTGGCTGCAGCTGTGAGTTTAAACATCCTTGTTGTTGCTTTGCTGAGGGTTTAATTCTGCTGTTTATTTGTATCAGAAGGGAGACTCACGATTATTTTTGGTCAATAATCAAGATTATTAAAAACGATTATCCATTTAGGAGGGTCAGGCCGATTGTCGAACCTCAGATTGAGGAGGAACAATGCGAATTCCGTCCTGGTCGTGGAACGACGGATCAGCTTTTTACTCTTGCAAGGATCCTGGAGGGGGCCTGGGAGTACGCTTATCCAGTCTACATGTGTTTTGTAGACTTGGATAAGGCGTATGACCGGGTTCCCAGGGAGTTACTGTGGGAGGTGCTGCGGGAGTATGGGGTGAGGGAGTCTCTACTCAGGGCCATCCAATCTCTGTACTCCCAAAGCGAGAGCTGTGTCCGGGTCCTCGGCAGTAAGTCGGACCCATTTCAGGTGAGGGTTGGCCTCCGCCAAGGCTGCGCTTTGTCACCAATCCTGTTTGTAATATACATGGATCGGATTTCGAGGCATAGTCGTGGGGGAGGGGGTCTGCAGTTCGGTGGACTAAGGATTGCACCACTGCTTTTTGCAGATGATGTGGTTCTGATGGCTTCATCGGTCTGCGACCTTCAGCACTCACTGGATCGGTTCGCAACCGAGTGTGAAGCGGCTGGGATGAGGATCAGCACCTCCAAATCTGAGGCCATGGTTCTCAGCAGAAAACCGATGGACTGTCCACTCCAAGTAGGGAATGAGTCCT